AAACCTGATTTCGGAAAATTTTTTTTTGGACCACTCTAATGTGATGCAGTCTAATGTACATACATATACATATGTACGTATCGTGTTGCTTTATGTCGTTATGTTATTTTATGTCGTGTTGTTTTATGAAATTTCGTACATACTTTATACTTTGTATGGAAGAAAATTGCGTGACACCGTCAATTATGAAAAATAAACGAGAATTCCTAGCTACTTTAAACTTGCACTATCTTAACCTAGAATTTAATGGGCTATAAAAGTGCATTTTAGAAAATCATAAAAAATAGTTTGTTGGTAAATTTTGGACGTGACAAAAATAGAAGTAGTTTCTGATTACATGTAAAAATAAGCAAACTCGTGCGATTCCGGTGAGGCTTTCCTTTCTAAAACATTCTTTAAATAAAGTCGAACTACGGACCATTACAACCAATTTAATTTTAATCAGAAGCAATTTGTTGTTGGTATAATTTTGTAAATAAAATGGGATAACGGACGTGGCATATCGGACGTGACAGATTTTTCGCCCATACAAAATTTTTACTAGTAACACATTAAATTTAGTTTTTTATTTAATTTTTTCAGTTGTCTCCACCGTTTCGCGTTTTCATAATCTTTTTTCGCCATTTGAATACGAAATTTAAAGTTATAAAGCCGTTTGAACTCATTTACTTGCATTTTCTTTTTACGTTTTTATGGAAACACCCATATGTACATATGTATGTATGTTTATAAAAAAAAATTTGTCAACATTTTAGCGTAATCGAAATTTCAGAATTCTATAAAAAGATGAAAAGTTAGTTTATATCTAAACCTTTGCGCGAAATTATCGTATGTTCTTTGAAATTTTATTGAATGTTTTTAATTTAATTGGTTTTTACTACGTACAAAATAATTTCGCTCATAAGAAAAAATGCGTTTTAATATATAGCACACCGTCTTCAAAAAAGACATAACTCAAAACTTGGCATTTTTGAAATTATGCACTCAAAATGTACACAGAGCTTTTATTTACCTTTCATCAAAAGTTGGAGAAAATGTTTGTTATAATTTGTTAAAAAAACCTAAGGTAAATTTGAAACGCCAAGTGAAGCCAAGTCATTCTCCACCTGATCTTTCTATAGCAGTGGGGCCTCCCTCTTCCTCTGCTACCACCAGCGGGTTCCGAGTTGAATACCTTCAGAGCTGGAGCGTCGGTGTCCATTCGAACGACATGGTCAAGCCAGCGGAGCCGCTGTATTTTAATTGGCTGCACTATGTCCATGTCGTTGTAAAGCTCATACGGCTCATCGTTCCATCATCTGCGTTACTCGCTATCACCAATGAGTAAAGGCCCGTAAATCTTCCGCAAAATCTTTCTCTCGAATACTCCAAGAGCCGCCTCATCGGATTTTGTCATTGTCCATGCTTCTGCGCCATATTCCAGCGCGGGCATGATGAGTGACTTATGGTCCAAAGTAGCACCAACCAAGTAGTTGCCGAGAGTGATTCTGTGTTCAATTTCGATGCCGACATTATTTTTGGCGTTAATGCTGGTTCCCAAGTAAACGAAATACTCTACTTTCTCGAAATTTTAACTGTCAACAGTGACGTGGGTGCCAAGGCTCAAATGCGCTGACTGTTTGTTTGATGACAGGAGATACTTCGTTTTGTCCTCGTTCACCACCAGACCCAATCGCTTTGCTACCTTGTCCAACTTGGAAAAGGCAGAACATGCATGCCATCGGCATAAGCCAGCGATTGTTCGCTCTTGTAAAGTATTCTGCCTGAGCGGTTCAGTTCTGTGGCTCTTATTATCTTCTCCAAGATCAGATTAAAGAAATCACAAGAAAGGGAGTCCTCCTGTCTGAAACCCCGTTTGGTGGCAAACGGTTCGGAGAGGTGTTTCCTAATTCTGACAGAAATGGTGGTCGCCTTCCTTGTGGCTTGGTCAGAGCACACCTAAATTTCAATCGTTGGGCATGCGTTCATCTTATCATATTCTGCATAAGAGTTGATGCATGCACCTTATCAGCTCCTCGCCGCCGCACTTGAATAGCTCAGCTGGCAGGCTGTCAGCTCCAGCAATTTTGTTGTTTTTCAGCCGCGTAATCGCTATTCGTACCTCGACATAGTCAGGCGGGGGAAAGCTGCAAGGTGGCTGATCCATTCTTCGCTAACTCTGCCAGCAGTAGCTATCTTCTCAGATAGTCAGGCTGCTATTGAAGCACTTTGAATGTGACAAATTCACATCAAGGTCAGTCATTCGAATGTAGATCTTGCCATGAAAACCTACTAGCTCCATAGTTATTACTAAAGCTTCTAGAAGGTAACAAACGTAGTATATATTTTTTTTTAAGTTTTGTCGACAACAGCATGACTGAGTGATAAATTTGAAATCCGTCAGATAGGCTTCCGTAAATAAACACAATTCTGTAGTAAACAACATCATCCCGTGCAAATAGTAATGAAAAAACATCTGTCATGGCCGAATTCATGCTTATCTCTGATTTCTACTTTCACACTGAATTTTTTCGCACAAAATTCTGAGATCTGTCTATCATTTCATTTTCATTTACATAAACATGCATACACTGTGTGGTAGTTATTGTATGTTGACAAGCGCTTTTCATCGCCGCTAATAAACAAATAATCGTACGGACTTAGCGTGTTTATCAAAAAATGGTAACTAACTGTGTGGGTTTTTTTTTGCATTTAATAAAAGTTTCCAAGCGGTGTTTGCTTTGTCGCAAATTATAATCGTTTGATGCGCACACACATGCATATATATATATATATATGTATGTCTGTGAATAGGGGAAATTTTTACTTACCTAATACTTTCATGAGATTGTAATCTAATCTCCCTTTGATAATGGGTACAATGTGCAAAAAAAGTGTTCATCGAATGTAATATATGTATACTAGTGAATTCATGCGATGTTAAAATGTCAAACTTTCATTTAAACCTTCTTAAAAAATCCAAATATTCGTCAGAGTTATAAGCGATCCGTGTACCGAATTTCATTTAAATCCGTCGAGCCATTTCTGAGTGAAGATTGGTCTCGCATGTTGACGGTTTTTAATTTTATGAAATTTAAAATGACCCTTAACGCTAAAAGAGTTCTAACTCCAAAAAATAAAACCTTATCGCATATCTTCAGGCCAAGCCCTTTAATTTGACACCAAATGGCTTCGCGTATTATAAATATAAATAGTTAAATGACTATGACTTTTCAAATAGATTGCAATCCTAATCAAAAATATTAAAATATTTTCAAACTAAAGCCCACTTTAAACTCTTGCGTGAAATCCTATTTTTATACCCGAGCGCACTTGTGTACATGATAACTCGAGCAAAAATTGAGATATCAACGAAATTTGGTATGTAGGTTTCCATTTATCCAAGGTAGGTTGGTATTGAAAATGGGCGAAATCGGACTGTAACCATGCCCACATCCCATATAACGGTAATTTAGAGAAATACAAAATCTTCGATAAATCAGTAAATATTAAAGCTAATTTATTCAAAATTGATGCTTGCAACAATTCTTTACCAAGAAATACGTTTATGGTAAAATTTTGGAAAATGGGCGTGGCACCGCCCACTTATGATCACATATATGTATCTCGGTAACCGTTCTACCAATTTGTACCAAACTCGGTATTTTTATTGTGCTTGCCACATAAAAGCAAAATGTTGAAAATTATTGATATCGGACTAAAATTACGGCCGCTTTTCATATAACGGTAAATTTCAGAAATGCTGAAAACTGCAATATTTCGAAATTTAAGGACGCTAATTTACTCAAAATTGATACACCCCGGCTTACCATCTAGCGGTAGCTTTCGGAAAGGTGAAAAAGGATATATGTAATACTTGCGCCGGGTATTTAATGTTCGGCTCCACCCGAACTTAGACTTTCTTACTTGTTTATCTTATATTTGAGTTATACACAAGTTTAACTTAACTAGATTCGACTTTTCAAACACAAGGCAAGCTCCTTCAGAGGTATTTCCAAACTAAAGCCTTAAATCTTTTTCGTTTGACATTAGCGCACACAAGGGTTTAGAAATCCCCAATTTAGAAATATTTTTGAATAGGGTTGCCACATATTTTCTATCGTATATTTATGTAATTTTTTGTTTAGAAAGTTAATATACAATATTACCTTTAACGGGCGCTAAACGAAAGCTCCTTAACAATGCCTTGCCTATATAGTACTTAATTAAATTTACTTTAACTTTTTTAAGAGGTGGCAACCTTAAATTATGTTTTCGAACAAAATAGTTTGGGAACCCCTTTCGGTTGACACCCACATTGTTGTAATATTTTATTTAAGTTATTAATTAGTTGTTTTAAATTTTTGGAAACGCTGGCAACTCTCTTCAAAAAGTATCCTATATGTTAATCCGGGTTATAACCTGTCTGTGGCCGAAATTCCGCTCTTTTTTAGAGTTTTGATTGGTAATAGCAAAAATATGCTCTAGAAAAATCTGTGTGAAATGTGAAAATTTTTGGTCAATATCCTAGGGTCGCCAAAGTCCACCAAAGGTCAAGTACTAAACAATTTTTTTCTTAGCTAACTTCGATTCTCTACAAAAAAAGGTCCATATACCAAATTATGTAGGACTAATACTTTCGAAGATTATTGCAATTTTAGTAAAAAAATGTATTAATTAATTTATTTATTAATTTTTTTTGAGCATAAGGAAACTTTGATGGACTTGGGCGAGCCTAGGATATTGACGAAAAAACTTCAAATTTCACGCAGATTTTTCCTAAAGCATAATGAACCATATTTTTGCTATTACCAATCAAAATTCTAAAAAAGCAGATTTTCGGCTCGCGCTACTGTACAGGCTATTGAATAATTTTTTGTACTTGATTGTTTTCCTTATATTTGTAGTATGTATGTATGTGTAAAATAAACACAAATCATATAACGTGATAACATTTATTACTAACTGAAATAAAACCAAGCAAAATCATGAACTAAACTCAAGTTACTTCTCTCTTACAGGTCGAATTTCGTTTGCCGGCAGTGGTGTTGGCCAAACGGCGGTGCTCAGCAGCTGAATTGCGAAATAAAAATTTGTGCCAACTAAACAATAAATATTCCTACTAAATTTAACGTAATAACACGCAATTATTACAACAACAAAAAGCGCTAGGAAAAAAGAGAGTAATAGCGGTTGGCGCAATTAGCACGTAAATTGTTACAAAAATTTGGCAGTGTTTCAAGGCAAGTGCTTCAACTACGACAAACTCTTCACAATTTTTTTTTGCGTCAAGAGTGGCGCGACTCGTTATTAACACGCACACAAGTGATTAAGTGTTAAAGTCGAGTTAGTGTGCGACGTTAATGGCCGATGGAAATGTTATGTCAGCAGCTTCTATAGGACATGCAGCTGCTGACTACTATTCAGTAGCACCAGCAACAGCGGCAATAACAGCACCATCAGGAATGGCCACCAATGCCAGTGTAGGTGGCGTCATGCAGACCAACAGTGGCGTTGCAGTTTCCACCGTGGGCGGTGCCAGTGCTATGAGCATCATCGGTAGTGGAAGTATGAGTGGCAGCAATATTAATTTGAATGCGGCTTCTATGGCGGCAAGCACTGCGGTGGCCGCGGCAGCAGCAGGGACGGGGACAACAGCTGGAGCCGCGTCAGCTGCCAGTGGCATTGGCAACAATCAAGGTTATCACCAGTTGAGTGTGACAAGTAAGTTCACAGAGAAAAACTTTTTCGAACTGAATTATTTATTTACTTTGCTATTCGTTGCTTTTTGCTTACAGTTGAAGAAGCTTCATTGCGCAATAATGGTTTTCTAAAACCTAATCCATACGTTGAATTGGTAATCGATAATAAAAGTAAACGCAAAACTGATGTGGTGAAGAATACTTATCTACCCAAATGGAACGAGGAGTTCACAGTGCTGGTATGTTGATGAATCGTCGTACAGTATATAAGAATAAATAGAAAATGCGATTGACTCATGCACTCGAGCGCATACACACACGCATGCATGGAAGTTGCGCGCAAAGCTGTCCACTCGTATAATGCTAGCGAGCTTGAGTGAGCACGCAGCGATAGCGAAATATTAAGATATCTTTGGAATTGTCCATTTAGGATTTACTAATTAAATAAGCTTTAGTAAAATCGGTAAAATCGGCTTAACTAAGCGAGGACGACGAATAGCTCGGCTGGTAGCTTGTTGTCATTCACAATTAGTGTACTGCTTTCGTTCTCACGATGACCCTTAATGACCGTTAAATATATCTCTGCGCGAGTTTCGATTGTTTGACAAAATTAAGCGCGATATACATAAATTTGTTTGGTTTAGTTGGCTTTTTATCATCGGTAGCCCCAAAACGTGATGAGGAGCAAAAAAAAAAAGGAAAAGAAATACCTAGTATACAATAAACTGACGCACAGTTGGATTGTGCGTAGAAAAAGCGATGTGGTGAACCGTAGAGACCGTAGTGGACTGCTTACGTTCGGATTTCCTCTTAAACGGCAGCCCCTGCTGACCACGATTCTACCCAGCTATTTACATAGCTTCATTGCCATATCTTTCCCAATTATCAAGTTTATTCCCGAACTAACTAACAAAGCCTAATCTCTGGCGAAATATTTTCGTTCGTTCATCTTAATATCGTTTGGGAAATGAATAAAAGAAATTTTAATGCACACTACACACAAAGGTGATACGCGGATGGTTCAAAAACTGGTTAATGTATAGGAGCAGGAATATATAACCCTAAGCTAACGATTTTGGAGGATGGTTCCGTGCGCAGAAGTGGAAAACTGGAGGATGGTTCCGTGCGCAGAAGTGGAAAACTGGAGGATGGTTCCGTGCGCAGAAGTGGAAAACTTTTGACTGCCATTCACCTGGGAGTGGCCAGAAGCGATTCTTGTGCGTACGGTTCAAATCGCAGCTCACAACGTCCGGATATTTATATCCACGTATCCTCTGGGTAGCAACCAAACACCCGTTTGGGAGCGAGCTAAAGTGAGAAGGCGTAAAACTTCGCGTGCGCTGGGTTTGGGTCCCGCCACGTTAAAACCCCGCCCAATGAAAAATTCCAACAAGCCTCGGATGAGACCCCCTTTTTCTGATGACGGGGCAAGGTAAAGTAAGCGTGAAGCCTTGCGACGTCTACTACAGTTGCCACGTAAAGGAGCGCAAATTCGGTGTTGGATTCGTGGTAGGAGAGAGACTCCGTCGCCGAGTACTGGCGTTCACCCCGGTGGACGATCGTCTAGCCACAATCCGCATCAAAGCTAGATTCTTCAACATCTCGCTCATCTGCGCCCATGCCCCGACGGAAGAGAAGGATGAGGCGTCCAAGGATCTCTTCTATGAGCGCTTGGAACGTACATATGAGCGCTGCCCCCGACACGATGTCAAAATCGTGCTTGGCGATTTTAATGCCAAGGTGGGCAAGGAAGGGATCTTTGGCGCCACTGTCGGAAAATTCAGCCTCCACGACGAAACGTCCGATAACGGACTGAGGCTGATCGACTTCGCCGGGGCCCGAAATATGGTAATATGTAGTACTAGGTTCCAGCATAAGAACATCCACCAAGCTACATGGCTGTCTCCAGATCGAAAAACGAGAAACCAAATCGATCATGTTGTGATAGACGGAAGGCATGCTTCAAGCGTTTTGGACGTACGTACACTCCGAGGGCCAAACATCGACTCGGACCACTATCTTGTTGTAGCCAAGATACGCACCCGCCTCTGTGCAGCAAAAAATGTGCGCCCAACAATGCAAGGAAAGCTTAACGTCGAAAAGCTGCAATCACAACAGACGGCCAATTTATTCGCCACTCGACTCACACACCTGCTCTCTGAGAGCACTCTTCAACAATCCGACGTACGCGAGCAGTGGAACCACATTTCCCGATCATTAAGTACCGCCGCCGAAGAAGTAGTTGGATTTCAGCGAGCCCGAAAGAACAACTGGTACGATGAGGAATGTCAAGAAGCCGCAGAGAAAAAAGATGCCGCCTACAGGGCCACGCTGCGATCGGGCGCAACGCGAGCCATGTGGGACCGTTATAGGGAACTGAAGAAGGAAGCGAGACGTATTTGCCGTAATAAGAAGAGAGAGGCTGAAATACGTGAGTGCGAAGAGCTTGAGATGCTGGCCGACAGGAAGAACGCCCGAAAATTCTACCAGAGGGTTAGGCGACTTACGGAAGGTTTCAAGACCGGGGCGAACTCCTGTAAGAACAACAATGGCGACCTAGTGACCGATGTCCAGAATATACTTAAATTATGGAGGGAACACTTTTATAACCTACTGAATGGTAGCAGCGCTGAAAGTAGTGAGGAAGACGAACCCGAGTCCCCAGTCGATGATGATGGAGTAGCTGTCCCACCGCCTGACTATGACGAGGTACGAATAGCGATTACGCGGCTGAAAAACAACAAAGCTGCTGGAGCTGACGGCCTGCCAGCCGAGCTATTCAAGTACGGCGGCGAGGAGCTGATGAGGTGCATGCATCAGCTCATATGCAGAATATGGTCAGATGAACGCATGCCCGACGACTGGAATTTAAGTGTGCTCTGCCCAATCCACAAGAAAGGCGACCCCGCCATACGCGCCAACTACCGCGGAATTAGCCTTCTAAGCATAGGTTACAAGGTCTTATCGAGCGTATTGTGCGAAAGACTGAAGCCCACCGTCAACGAGCTGATTGGACCTTATCAGTGTGGCTTTAGGCCTGGAAAATCCACCATAGATCAGGTATTCACAATACGCCAAATCTTGGAAAAGACCCGCGAGAATGGGATCGACACACGCCATCTATTTGTCGATTTCAAAGCCGCTTTCGACAGCACGAAGAGAAGTTGCCTTTATGCCGCGATGTCTGAATTTGGTATCCCCGCGAAACTAATACGGCTGTGTAAAATGACGTTGAGCAATACCACCAGCTCCGTCAGAATAGGGAAGGACCTCTCCGACCCGTTTGATACCAAACGAGGTTTCAGACAAGGGGACCCCCTTTCGTGTGATTTCTTTAATCTTATGTTGGAGAAGATAATAAGAGCCGCAGAACTGAACCGCTCAGGCACAATACTTTATAAGAGCGTACAATTGCTGGCGTATGCCGACGACATCGATATTATCGGTAAAAACAAGGGCTACGTCTGTTCTGCCTTCTCGGGATTGGATAGAGAAGCAAAGCGAATGGGTCTGGTGGTGAACGAGGACAAAACGAAGTATCTCCTGTCAGCACACAAACAGTCAGAGCATACGCGTCTTGGCACCCACGTCACTGTTGACAGTTACAAGTTTGAAAAAGTAGACGACTTCGTTTATTTGGGAACCAGCATTAACACCAATAATAATGTCAGCCTTGAAATCCAACGGAGAATCACTCTTGCCAACAAGTGCTACATTGGGCTGAGTAGGCAATTGAGAAGTAAAGTCCTCTCTCGTCGTACAAAGATCACACTCTATAAGTCACTCATCATGCCTGTGCTGGTGTATGGCGCGGAAGCATGGACAATGAAAGCATCTGATGAGGCGGCTCTTGGAGTTTTCGAGAGAAAGATTCTGCGAAAGATTTACGGACCTTTACGCGTTGGTGATGGCGAATATCGCAGACGATTTAACGATGAGCTGTATGAGCTTTACAACGATATAGACATAGTGCAGCGAATTAAAATTCAGCGGCTCCGCTGGCTTGGCCATGTCGTTTGGATGGACAGAAACGCTCCTGCTCTGAAAATATTCAACGCGGGCCGCGATGCTGGGAACAGAGGAAGAGGAAGGCCTCCTCTGCGTTGGAAAGACCAGGTGGAGAAGGACTTGGCTTCACTTGGCATTTTCAATTGGCGTCAGTTAGCACAGAAGAGAAATGACTGGCGTGCTGTTTTGGACTCGGCCAAAATCGCTTAGGCGGTTACAGCGCCAAATAAGAAGAAGAAGAAGAAGCTAACGATTTCTCTAGGGTATAAGAAATTGAACAGCCTAGGGCAACACAACACTGTACAACTGAACTGGGTGCTGGGGCATTAAGACACACAGGTTAACAGACTGACAATGGAAGCACGGACACGGGCAATATTCCAGAATTCTTCCATGCCATAGGATTACATACAATAAGAGAAGAGTTGAGAACACAATAGGGGCCTCTTAGAAGCCTGAGTTCCCAGAAGTCTGCGAGTTAAGCGTTCTACTCCTCATTGGATAAATCTGGTCAAAGGCTGGCCAAATTATTAAAACTTGTTTATCCTGAGCCTCCATGCTAACCCCTGGCAACACAGCACACCCGTTCTTGGACTTTGGGAGTGTTTCATTAAGAAGAAGAAGGATAGGCTGAATGTATTAGGACCTGGGCCATACCAAGCTATCGTAAACTAATAATAAAATACTATTTTCGAAAGTGACCAATGCATAAAGTACTAAACTGAGTGATCTCAGCAAACGTTTTGTCTAGCGGAGATTAGATAAATTTCAAAACTTATTTTTTGTAACGTTTCTGTCACTGTTTTCTAGAAATTAATTATTTTAAAGCTACATACATATAGCAATGAATTAGTAGATACAATTTCAGCATTACTTTAAAACGTCTCAGAACTTTGTTAATGCATTGCGACTTGTGAAATACGTATGGATATGATACAGATACATATCGCAAATTTGCTTCAAGAGTGGCCTAATCCATAAAAATTTAGTAAAGTATTCAGAAGTGAACGCAACATTTTCTTCAATGTTGTTGTGTCCATAGCTCTACCGATTACCAGTAGCTCACTAGAACAAAATATGTATCCATTTTTACTATGGGAGTATGTATGTACATATATCTCGAGTTTTTGATTTTTTGGATTATGACACTCTTGCAGCAAATGTGCGATATGTAGTATGTATAGATAGACAAATAGCGATTGCGTTTTAAATAAATGCTGAGAATTTAAAA